ATTTTCTTCTTTTTTTTTAACAAAAGAAACATCATCGTGCAGGATGGCCCCAGACTGAGTGTTGTCGCATACATTCTCACGTGGACCGAAGTCTCCACAGACTGTAGGCGCCACTCATAACCCACGCACACTGGGACGAAGACGCCTCAGACCTATGTGGCGCCCAAGGCCGCGGATCCTGCGGCCTAGGCCGAGGCCGCGCGGCCGAGTTTCTGTGCGGCCGTGCCACAGCCAGGCGGGGGCGCGCGCGGGAAAACGGTGCGCACGTGCGGCCTGCGCGCGTCAGCCTCTAACGGTCTGCACAGAAAAAAATAAAAATTTGGAAAATTTGGGGGGTGGTTTTTGGTAAGTAGCAAAAATAATTCAAAACATTGAAAAAAAATAAATATTCATTGATTGATTGTTTTTTTTTATTAATTGATTGATTGATTGATTGATTGGTTGGTTGATTGATTGATTGATTGATTGATTGACTGACTGGTGGGGCAGGGGTCCTCCCTCCCCTCCCCGGCACACGCGCACACACACACACACACACACACACACACACACACACACACACACAATCAGTTTTATGTTTGTTGGCCTTTCTTCTGTTGTCTGTCCTCCCCCTGACTTTTATGTTTTGTGTGCCCAACTGAGCACCCTTAAGTAGTGCCAAACAGTTGGTGGTTCCTCGTTTGGAGTGCCTACTGCACTCTTATGGGGGGCGCTCGGTTCGGGATGTCTGCGTTGCCTGTAGGTGATGACGGATGGTCGTCAGAGTGTCCCCTGGCTCAGCGGGTGGTAGGAATCAACAGTCTGCGGGGTTCTATCATGATGTGAGTAGGTCATGTGCTGTTTTTCTCCGTGTTGGATGTGTGGATTGTCTTGTCTGCGCTCTGCCGCGGTCTTGCTGCCCGTGTCGCTTGCTTTGCTGGTCGTCCTCACTGCTCTGCTGCCTTGCTGCCTACCCGCGGGTCGTGCCTCCCGTGTCTTTTGCTCGCGTGCCTTGTGGCGATGCCTCGCGCTTCGCTGCACGGTTGCTGAGCTGCTTGTCCGTGTGCTCTGTCGGCCTTCAGTGTTCTTTGCGTGCATGCCTTGTAGTTTGGTTGCCTTGTTGGTGGTGCCTTATGCTTCACTGCACGGTTGCCGAGCTGCTCGTCTGCTTGCCCTGTTGGCCTTCCACGTCCTTTACTTGCTTGCGTGCTTTGTAGTGTCGTCGCCTTGCTGATGTTGCCTTGCACTTCACCGCACGGTTGCGGAGCTGCTCGTCCGCTTGCCCTGTCGTTCCTTGCAGTCGTCTTTGGTGATAAGCAGTTGAGCTGCCTCTACTGTGTTGCCTGGTGCTCCACAAGGTTGCTGCCCGCTGCTATGTCCCGCTTGGGGACAGTCTGCCTTCAACATGGGTCAAAGGGTTCATGACCCAAACCATCAAATACGGGGATTCCGCAGATTGTCGAGGGTTCAGCCTCCTGATGAGTCGGTGCAACTCTGACGAAACAATCTTTCATCATCTTTTTATTTCTTCCAGTCTTTGTTTTGTTTATACTTATTTTTTTCGGGTGTTGTGTTTGCATTGTCGTCGTTTGTCTTGTTGTTGTTTCCCTCGCTGCCTTACGCTGTTTGCTTGCCCATCCGTYTACCCCATGCCTTTCACCCAGTGTGCTTTGTTGTGTTGTGCTGTTYKCCTTGCTGTTGTTTCCCTCGCTGCCTTTCACTGTTTGTCGGACATAGGAGTGTACTCGGTGCAACCCCTGGGTAATTAGTTTCGTACATCCGAAATAACCATTGTTCAAGGATCTGCATTATCTGAGAAGGCGTTCTGTATTGTATTGTTTGTTGCGCTGTTTTTGGCGTGGTGGCTTCCTGTTCTCGCAAAACACACACATAGCAGGGGAACCCATAACCCCCTCTGTAGCTATCAAGGGGGTCGATTCCTCCTTGTCAAACCTTCCAAATTATTAGAACGCTTTGAAACCTAAAACCTGATCCTTCATATGGTTGATTGGAATAACGAAATAATGACCTAATTAAGAGATACATGTTGCATTCATTCTACTCAAAATTGTTTTCCGATATTGAACGCCCATCCGTCTACCCCATGCCTTTCACCCAGTGTGCTTTGTTGTTTTGTGTTGTTTGCCTGCCCACCCGCCTCCCCCTTGCCCTCCAACCTTTCACTGCTCACATTGTTTTGTGCTTTGTCAATTGCCTACATGTTATTGCGTGTGCATGTGTTTGTCTCTATGCGTGTGCGGAGTCCATGGGGCACCGGGCTGAATGGCCTAGTGCCCCAGGACACTAGTCCATCCAGCCTTCCTCATGGAGGGAATGTGGGTGGGACACTCACACACACACACACACAATCAATTTTATGTCTGTTGGCCTTTCTTCTGTTGTCTGTCCTCCCCCTGACTTTTTCTAAGTATGTTTTGTGTGCCCAACTGAGCACCCTTAAGTAGTGCCAAACAGTTGGTGGTTCCTCGTTTGGAGTGCCTACTGC